TAATGGTATGTAGATATGTCATTGAACAGGAAAGTGTGTTATAATATATTTTGAATGTTTTATTCACATGGTTCATATTAGTTTGAAGAATAAGGAGTCAAAATCACATTTAAAATACCCAGTTAAATGAACATCCCCTACAATTGCTGATGATTTTAAAATTTTTATGTACAAATTCTGATATACAGTATCATAATACATAGCACTTTCAATATGATATATATTAAAAAAAAACCTGAAGAAGTGAATTCCCTATTGGAATCCTTCAACATCTCTGTAGGTGTAGGTTAATAGACCCTGATGAGTCCTTGGTCATAAAAATAGAGAGGAGGACGAAACCGTGGTAGGTCAAGTAGGTAGGAAAAAAATTTAAGAAAAAAATTTTTGAAAATTTTTTGAAAAAATTTTTTCTGTTGGAAATTGTTTTAAAATGGATTTTGGTGTGTTTTTTCTTTGACTACTTCCCAAAATCAACTGGGACTCTTGAAATGTGAGAATCTGTTTCTCTTTTTTGATTTAATCAAAAAAAAAACCTTTCCAAACCCCAACAAGTAAAGAGAATGTGGGATGAGAGGAGCAAATACATAAGCCTTAATCAATGACTAAAAACAAAACTTTTTCCATGAGATTGACTTTTTTCATTCAAAATTAAATTTTTGACTTTAGCTTTCAAAATTTTTTCTTTTTACTTTAAAAAGGGATAAAGATTCTTAAATATGTGACTGTGGTGTAATTAACATTTTTGGTATATTGTTTGAGTTTGTTGTTTGATAATGTCTTGCTTTAAAACCAAATGATGAAATTCTTTAGAGTCAGTATACACTTATGGTGATTTTAAATTTCTGATGGTAGTAGTAATATATCTTTGTACATTTTTGATTACTTTTGTAAAAGCTTGTATAGTTTTGTACATTTTTGTATTTTTTAAAATATTGCTTAAAATAAGTTGTTGATGTTTTTATCATGGTGATTTTAAATTTTCTCATGTTTTAGCTTGAGTATGAGTTTTTGCTTGAGTATGAGTTTTAGCCTGAGTTTGAGTTTGTTTTTAGTTTGATTGTGAGTTTAAATTAAAATTTGAGTTTAATTTGTGTATTAAACTGGTTTTAATTTGATGTAAATATGGTTAGTAGTTTACAAATTTCTTTGTGATCTTTATAAATGTTTCTATATTCTTCCCAAATCTTTTACAATTCTAAAATTATAAAAATCCCTATTAGTAGTATATATTTTTATTAGTTGAATATATAGTTTGTAGAGAACATTTTAAATATTCTCAGTAACTAACCTTTGTCTTAAGCTGAAATTTAAAAAAATACTTTACTTATCAATCTACTTCCAGTATAAACACCACCATATTTTACATTAAAACATCTCACCAATTTTAATATCACTCACTTCAAAAACTCACATATATTCTCTTCGTTCTTTTCCAATCCATTCATTAGCCAAAACAATGAATCATAACTGGCTCAAATAAATGAATGTTGGAAAAGACTCTTTCAACTACCAATACCATAAATTGTAATCTTAATTCACTACATGGAATAATCCTTCCATTCCAGTAACAAACATAAATCATAAATCAATAAAGGAATTAGGAATTAAACCTCTCTATTCAGCATACAAAACACTCTTCCCAATCCATTCATTAGCCAAATCAAACAATCTGGAATTAACTAAATGAATGTTGGCAAGAAACTTTTACAAACAAAAACAGATTACCTAAGGCTTTCACACATTTACTTACAAATAATTTATTTAACCCACTTTCCAATCCATTCATTAGCCAGAACAACCTATCACTTGGCAAAGTAAATGAATGTTGGAAAATATAATACAAGAAAAACAGTTTAGTCTTCAAACAATATTATTTAATAATTTTCAAATTAACAATCCTCTAATCTTTAGCCATAAAATTAAATTAACCATACTTTCTCATAATACAACATATGTATCACACTTCATTCATTTACACTCACTTATTTATATACTTTCAATTAATTAACCAATTCCTTACACATACTTAATTCATCAACTAGCCATAAATAATAATACAATTCATATTTATTTTTTTCACTTTTTCAATTTTGAATTTTTACTTTTATTTAAACTTTTATTGTTATTCCAATCCTGGTTGCTACTATTTACCCAACTTATTTTATTTTATTCTATATCACTTTTCTCATTTTTAGGTCTGCAATTTTTGTTTTTTCTGTCTTTGCTGTTTTCCAAACTGCCAGTATATATATCCCCTCAATTTACTGTTATTATTCCTTACACTTTGATTCAAGCCACAGATGCTTTCTTTAATAACTTGTTAATTTAAAAAGTGTTAAACTATTTTGGTTTCTTATTTTAATTTTTAATTATTTTTCAATTTAATTCCAAAATTTACCTCACAAGAATCTTTATCAACAAACAAATAAATAAATCAAAAATCTGGAGAGAAACTTCTTATTAAGATTCTCAAACCTCTCTTTCATGCAGCTTAGTAGACCCTGAAGAGTCCCAGGTTTAAAAATTTAGTAGAAGGGGGACGAAACCAGGTAGGTCAAGTAGGTAGGAAAAAAATTTAAGAAAAAATTTTTGAAAATTTTTTGAAAAAATTTTTTCTGTTGGAAATTGTTTTAAATGTCGATTTTGGTGTATTTTTTCTTTGACTGCTTCCCAAAATCAACTGGGACTCTTGAAATGTGAGAATCCTGTTTCTCTTTTTTGATTTAGTCAAAAAAAACCCTTTGCAAACCCTAACCCTAACCCTAACCCTAACCCAGAACTTATACAAGCTCAAACTACATCTTCACACCAAAAATCAACTTAAAAAAGCTATTAGAAGTTGGAGTTTTTTTCTCTATATAATGATAGTATTTTTTTTTAAACGTTTTTAAAAAACAACAGCCAAACTAGAAACATTTTTAGGTCATTTTTTACAGATCTATAATCAGCAAACAAAACTGTATATTTCCATAACTTATGAACTCAAAATTTTTTTGGGGACCCCTGTAACCTAACCCTGTCAAAAAAAAACCTTTTCCAAACCCTAAATTTTTTGACACTTTTTGTAAGTGGAATACATGCAGTTTTAATGTTGTGGCATGTTGTTATATGTTAAATGATTAAATGAAGATAACTATTTAATTGATTTGGGTTTGAAAATAAACAAACATTTTTTACCTGGATCCAATGAAGGTTCAATTGTTACACCAATTTTTGAAAATGTAGTATCCCCTACTGATTGACGACGATCTGTAAGTTCATCAAAGGTTGCTTTGAAAATGTGACATATCTGATTTGAAGTTACAATACTAATTGTACTGTAAAAAAGAAATGATAAAATTATAAGACATTTATTATATTTTATAACTAACTTGCAATCACTGAGCATGCTACAAAGTTTTTTGCAGTCAGCTTCACCTGTATTAAAAACTGTATGATAAGTAAATCCGCCAAGCTGATCAGGATAACTTGTATAGGTAACTTTAAAGAAGGGGAAGGAGACAGACAAAAACAAAGAAATGTTATTAATATATTTATGTACTTTGCTTTTATTGCATTTAGTTATTTACTTGTGTCTCCAAATGTGGAGTATCTGAAAAGAAAATTATTTATACTTTTATTTTACAAAAAAATCTAACACTTTTTAATTACCACAAACATCTGGTTTTTCATAATAATCATAACCAATGACTTGAGGTAACTGACTTCCTCCTAATCCTGCATGGTCGGTTGAAAGATAACATTTGTTGTTATCCTGTTTATCAACATAGAAACTCCTAAAGTGGAAAAAATGTGTAGATTTTACTCTCCCTCTCTCTCTTTCTATAAACATACTTGCAAAGTTCAAGATAATAGCATAACTTTTTACAATAGTCTACTCCTCTATCATCTATATTATAAATAACAACATATGTGCTTGTTGCTAACTGTTTATCTTCTTGATGAAAGAAATCGCAAACTGTATATTAATAAAGATAAGGAGAAATATGAATAAATATAAAAATCATAATTTTTCTTGCGCAATCATTATTTCTTATTGTCAAAAGAAATATTGTTATTAATTGAAAAATTAAAATATTCATTATTTTTTTGGAAAATCTAAAGCGTATTTGAGATGTATAAGAAAACATTATGTGGTTATATAGGAAATATTTCTATGAATTATTAATATAAAAGTTCAAAATTTTGTTTAGAAAGATTAATAATCAATCTTTCGATTGAATATGTCTTCATTCAATTTATGAAAAATTCAAAGGGCTTCCACAGTTCATTTTTTGTTCCTTATTTCTAAAATGTCAGAAATATAAAAAACATTCTTTCAACAGGAATACATATGGAATATTAATCAATGAGTGTTTCTTTTCTTTGTTCTCTTGTATTGATTTAAACACAGCAAGTAGAATATATGGTATTTTTGGGTTGAGATAAAAAGCATTCACTTAAGATCAGAAAAAACTCTCAAACATACAGCATTCTTAATTATTAATATTTAATAATAATGAATTGCTTCAGTTAACAAGTTAAACATCAGAATATAGAGAGAAACCATAAGGAAATGGCAGGAAAAATTGGACACAGTAAATTTTGCAAGACCAACTTTCAATAAACAATCAAAATTGGTTGTCCCCTTTAAAGTAGTTTGTTTAAAGTTTTATAGAAAATAGTCATCAATTAATTACAGAATATAATTGAGATATCATAGTACATGTCTACAACATTGGTTATATTTAACATGCTTGAACTCTATTATTTTATGCAACTTATACATGTACATCTTAAAAATCTATGCAAGAAAATGCTATAACATTGGCCAAAGAGAGTTTCATTAGTCAGCTTTAAGGCTCATCTTTAATTACCAATAAAGGTTTGGTCAAGTTATAATTTAATTAACTTGCCTAGGTGTGGCCTAACCCTAACCCAAGTCCTAACCTAACTCTGCTATTGAACTCTCATATTGTTACTTGCTTAAGTATTATTATTTTGAATAAACCGTTTTAATTTAAACATTTGTTTAAAGGTTCGAGTAGAACCAGTATTGTTATAACTTTCAAGCGCATAGATTTTGCCAAGCAAGAGCAGTACAATAGTTATAAAATAGAAGGATATTGGGAAATTAAGGGTGATGGCAAGAGTTTTGGGAATGCATGGAAAAAGAGTTTGGGCACATACAAAGATAAAAAAATTATACTTGATTTATCAGTGTCGATTCATTACAACTAACACAACTCAAAAATCCTAACCAAAACACAAGAAGGAAATAAAGATTTTAATACTTGATATATTCCTATCTATAGACTTAAAGTTTTGCATGCAAGTTCAGTATTTATTCATTAATAAATACAAAGGATAATATCTACTGTTGCCTTATTACCTGACCAGAATGATTTATGAAAATCATTATACAATTTCAAGAGCCATAAATTTTTATTTTGGAAATATGATACAAAACATGCTCAACACATTGGAGAAAAATCAACATATCTTATATCTGTCATCAATAACTTATTACTTGCCTTTCAATTGTTAACAATCAATGGAAGGAAAAGTAAAATATTTACTCAATTGAAAAACTAATTCTAGTCAAATTCTACCATTTTTTACTATACAAAAGATTTTTACCAAAGCTTAGATTTACTTGGTCAAAGGATTTGTACTTTGCTGTATTATAATTGTAGGAATTTCTGCTTCTTCAGAGCAGTACTCGTCCTTTCCAATCATTTATCAATGCACCAAAGTACTCAAACAAAATAGAACTTTTCAAGTTCATCCACAAATAGTCTTAATAAATGTAATTTCGGTAGAAATAATTCAACAAAATACCAGTATTTCATTTAAAGAATATCTATTGAGTAAATGAGTTTCTAGTTCTAAACAAATAAGTTTAAACAATCAGTTAACAGTTAAGAACTGAACTGCCAAATTGGAGAAATGTATTTTCTTTTATACATTTCCCAAAGCTTGGGTTCAATTTATCAAAAGATTGCATATGTCACAAAAACATAATCCCTAAACAAAGGCTATATAGTCAGCACATGTTGCCACATAACACATCTGTCCCATTAACATCTGATAATAGTTAAGAAAAAACAACTTTGACACATTTCTTTTTAAAGTGCTAAAGTTAACTCTACAAAATAAAAGTCTTTCAAAAGTTCCACCATTATAATTCATACAAAATAGTAGTTATTTCTATAGTTGCACCATTCTAATTCCTATAAAATAGAAGTCTTTCTAAGGTACCCTAATATCTAAAGTCTAAGCATTCATATATCATTATATCTTAGTGCACAGGATTACAAAGTTGAAATGTAACAGTCTCATAATGCACATATAACAAAAACAAAAAAAACTATTACATCACTTATGGCTAACATGTGGCAGTGCAAAAACAAGCCTGCCTGTTCCTCATCTGTTTTTGAATAAGATGTAACAAGTTTAATATGCATTTTATCTATATTGTTTGTTAATTCCATAATGGCACCATCTGTTATGGTCAAAGAATCTATTTCCTGCAAAATAAAGGTGTTTCTAAAGTTCTAGAATCTAATTCTACTAATTAAAAGTCTTTCTAAAGCTCCACAATTATAATTTGTATGACATAAAAGTGATTCTATAATTCCCCCATTATAATTGCTACAAAATAAAAGCCTTTCTAAAATTCTATAATATCTAAAGTCTAAATATCACAGAGTGTACGACTTTTAATCAATAATAGACCCAGAAAGCATCCAGAAAGCAAAAACACACCCTTGGTAATATGATACAAATATCATAACTCATACTGTGAAAGTCTACAGAAAGTGAAAAATTAAATATGAATGATTTTGGAACTATAATAAAGAAAGGAGTTAAAAATTTAAATATTAATCCTCGTTTTTCAAAAAAATTTTTGTATAATCAAAGAAGTTATTTTCAATTGTTCATGACTAGTAACAAATACATTTTAAATATTCAAATTCTCACCTATTCCTTCCTGCTCATTATTAACACACCAAAGTACTGGTCCTAATAGAACCTAAAGTTTGTCCACAAGTATTAGCAAGTAAATGATATTTGTCCAAAGATTTGTATTTTACCAAATAAGATAGGTATTGACTATTCTGAGCCTTTATCTCTAAAATAAACATTTCATCGCAAATTAAATACAACATGTAAAAATTGACAAGATTGTCTGTCTAGAGAGATTTTCTCTTACCAGTTTATATTTTCTTTCAAATAGATTTACAATCTAGATTGAAAGTTTGAAATATGATAAGCTATTTTGAAAGTAAAGGTTATTTGATATGTTACACAACAATAAATGGTGTCTGGTATCTAATCTAGATTTTGGAATGCATCATGCTAATGTTTGTTCCTAACATTCAACTGATTTTATTCTTTGTGTTTTCTAATTGATTTTCTCTCTTTTATAGTTATTTTGTAAGAAATTCGGATTTAAAAATGTTTTACTATAAACTATACCTAGATCCTAATTCTTGTATTATGTCTGTTTAAAGCTCCTTTGAGCAGTTTTCTCTATCCAACATTTTTGTTAGTATTCCCAGTTACTTTTATGAGTCACATGGTTGCTTTGCAACCAGACTAAATGAATGATTGATTTTTAACATTAAATTTTTTTATTAGTCTCTGCAATAACATTTTGCATGGATTGTTCTACCTACTTAAGTTTGGACAGCTGTTTCAACTATATGTTTCCAAGTATGTCACATACTTCATTTGATGGAATTTTTATTAAAGTATTTTATTAATGATCCACTTATTTTTTCCAACAATCTATAAATTATAGGCTTACTTAAAAACCAATTCAGACTGACAGACCACTTGGTGTTACACTCTCACTAAAAGCTTATATGGTTAAGATTAGTGTTGCTATTAGAAGCAGTTACACTAAAGAAAGGTTTGAGTGTTTTATGGCAGGGTTAGGTTAACTAACCCTAAATACCATGGTCTATTTTCAATCCATGTATGGCTACATCTTTTATAATTTTTATATACAGGGTTAAATTCCCCATTAACAGCCAAATGACCTAAACTAGTTGGCCATAAACCAGATATATATTTGTAGGTTGTTTATATACCAAGTTTACATTTGTGAATCCAGTTGAATACAATCCAACTGAAAAGTAGAAAAAAATCCAAACTATTTTAAGTAAGAAGACTTCAAAATGGCTACTGAGCAATGGAGAAGAATATAAAATAAAGGCAAAATGTTTTTGACCACTTTGTAAAATGTGTAACAAATATTCTTTCAAACATGAACAACTATTACATAGCATTATGTAAAACGTACAATTTTCTTTGATGAGCATCTTTTGATTCTTTCCCAATTCCATTATGGCTCCATCTGTTATAGTCAAATTATTCTTATTTAATTGTAATTTGCTGCTTTTAAATGAATCACTAAGCTCAAAATATCTGACAAACAGAGAAAGTTTTAATTTAAGAATTGAAGTATGGAACATAGAAAGATGAACAGAACCAGAATTCTGTAATCCATCAGTGAAGATGATGCCGAATTTTCTGTATTACCACCTGTTTGATTATTTGTTAAATAAATACATAATTTCTAAGTAGAATTCAATTGTTATCTTACAGAATTTTCACAGATACTCTTCATTTTCTTGTACAGTTTCATTAGAAGGTCTACAAGATTCTGGAATGTTATACGTGCAAAAGAACAAATCACATATTTTTTTGATATCAATACAGTTTTGCAGATAACTTTGGCATGCTGGAAAAAAAGAGATATAAACCCTAAATTATTGATTGGCGATATATTCAAGTATATTACTTAAGTAACAAATCGCCTTAGTAAATAATTCAATGTCTAGGA